ATGGAATTCACTCTGGGATACTTCCCAGAACACGTAGACTAGAACTAATTTTGAAAAGTTCATTTTCCAAATTGGTCCTACCGGGAATCGAACCCGGAACCTCCGCAATCAGCGCCCATAGTGTAAACCGTTTAGCCACCGAACGTCATAGGTATTAAAAAAAAAGTACGCATTTGACCAGCATCTCAAAATTCTACTAAAATTCGTTTTGTGTGCTTCCATACACGGCCGAGAGCCAAATTTCAACCGGATCGGAGCAATTTTTTATCCGCCATTTAAAAAAAAAATACAGGAAATTGGCATCTACGGCCTTATAACTTTGATGGCGGCCCCCAAACATGGAAGAATATTAAATTTCAAATAGATCGGGCACCTTTTTATTAGGTCGCCATTTTGAATCGACCAATTTGATAAAATAATTTTGACATTCAGTTGGTTCTCATCGCTTTTTCCTTCATCACCAACCGGTTTAACTAAATCTTTTTCGATATGGAGGCTTCGCCATGATGTTTTTCTTCCCCATAGCGAGAGGTATACCACTAAACATCCCTAAATGTACGTAGCTTAGAAGATTCGAACCATCGGCCTCTCTGCCGCCAAGCAGTAATGTGAGCATTACTGCGTTCCGGTTTGGTGCTGGTGAAATTACTTTGTCTTGTCAACTTATGTCTCAGGGTGACGGGCACAGCGGCAGTGCCTCTAAAATCTTTGCGATTTAAAACAAACTAAAACGTTATTATTTTTTGTTATTGATACAAAAAACAAAAACGAATAAATACAAAGAAAAATTCTTTCGCCTTGACAATTCGAACCAAGCCTCACCGCGGCTACAGGTGCTACATAAGAGCGAACAAACGTCTTTGTATCCAATAATAATAACAAACTAGTATAGTGTTTTCACAAAAAAATACAGTAAAAACATTATCAAGAATTTTTTTTTTTATTGATTTGATGATAATGATATTCAATTATTTTTTGTGAAATAATTCCACTAGTTTGTTGTAATTATTAATACAAAGAACGAACACTTAGAAAAAATTTCTTCGATCCGGCCGGAGTCGAACTGACGTCTCCTAGCAAGCCGTGCAAGACGCTATGCCAACTAAGCCACGGAACGAACCAGCGGACCTCAACAGATTTTTTATGTGCCCGTTGTCGGATCTTTGTATTTGGTTTTTAACGACTTTCGGCCGGATCGAAGGAATTTTTTCTAAGTATTCGATATTTGTATAAATAATTATAACAAATGTTATGATGTTCAATCATTGACTTACAATTATATGGACGTCGGGTCCGCACTAAAAAGTGTCCGAACTTATAGGGCGTAAAAATCGTATACAGAGCGTCATTCACGCTTTAGTCTTCGTTTGTTCGACTGACAGAGAAGCAAGCAAAATTAGACAGTACTGCGATGACATTACAATTTAAATTCAACGTTTTAGCTTTTTCATATTCCTTTACATGTCACTACGTTTAAATAGGTTGACTTGGGACATTTTTTTCGTGGTTTTTGTATTAGATCCGTCGTCCATTTATTTGTAAGTCAATGTGTTCAATAAAATAAACATTGTATCTAGTTTGTTATTTAGGAAACATACAAAAAAATAAAAGACTTTTTGGCTAGAAAATGTTTTTACAAATTGCACTCCCGAGAATGATACTCGCAAGTCCGTCGTATTTCAAGGAATATGTGAGGGTGAACTAGGACTAGCTTGGTGTTTTGTCGTATAAAATAAACTGTATTTTATTGCTTCTTTTCTTTTTCTTTGCTTCTTTAAATGAAAAATATTTATTTATTTAAACTTTAATCAATTATGTATTGGCTGTGTTTGTTTACAATCTTTTGCCATCTTTTGGGTAATTTTAGAATTCCCATTTAATAAAATTTCTGTCTTTATTTATAAAATACAGCTATGAGTGACATTTGATGGTCTCTTCATTATCGAAGAAAGAAAGAAAAAAGAAAGAAACATCGAAAGAAATGAAAACCCTGAGGTAACACACCCCAACTTAACTGCAATAGCCGTCAAGGCTAATGAAATACGACATTTTTACGATGCAATTCTGGGCATTTTTCATGAATTATAATTCTAAAACTGTCCTATCTTTTCTTAAAATGTGTGCTAAAATACATAGGGCCGTAGACAATACAACATATTTAAAAAAAAGTTATTTTCTTGTTTAAAATTAGGACGCGTTTCCATTATGTCGCAACGTTCTATTTATCGTTGGACGACTGTCGCGTCTAGTCTGTTCCCATATCACGACTATCTGTCGTGACTATGTCGTGGACGTTTATTTTATCGTTGAACGACTGTCGTGTGTAGTAGTGCCCACTAGATCGTGCCAACAATTTATCGGTTGACGACAGCCGCCTTGTCGTTTGCACGACAGAATCGTTTGAAGCTGCAATTATCTGTCGTATTATATTTATCGAAGACTGTCGTTCTAGCTGTTCCCATTGTCACGACAGCCTGTCGTCGTAACATCAAAAAGTCGTGAACGACAGTTAATCGTGTTGTACTATATATGAACAACTTAATTTTTAAATATTTTACAAGCCAAGACACTTGATACTGCACGACTATCTGTCGTCACGACATAATGGGAACGCGCTCTTAGCGAATTGCTTAGCCAACCTGTTGCATAATTATTTCTTTAGATTTCTGTGTACATAATGTATTATTATGAAACAGGAAAAAAGGGTGAATACTTCGTGTTCCCCATGCAGTAATAAAGTCGAAAATCCAGAATTATCGCTCACACTGTCTTCATCATCATCATTATTAATCCATTGTACGCTGGGTATGGGTTTTTTGAAGGAAAGTGTATTAGGCCACAGTCCATCGCTGTTGTCGAATACGGGTTTGGGGCTTCTTTTCCAAGTTTTCATTAACTTTTAGCGAGAGGTATTATTAACATACACAAATGTACGTAAATAAAGTCATGCTCCTACCGCCACAGCGGGCTGCCACCGCTCTGTTGCCCACTACAAGTTCGTGATATAATTATAGTATAATATATACTACTATATAGTAGTTTATGCGACTGTTACATAATGAAAGGCATTAAAACACGAGTGTGGGTTTCTCATCTCACGAGTGTTTTAATGCTTAATTGTGTACAGTTACATACTTACACACTTTTATCTACACACATATTATAAGCTCTCTGTGATGTGTACAAGAACCGCATGTAACGACTGGCGAAATGGCGGCAAATAAAAACTTTTCTCATGCATTGACATGCATTGTGTAACCACAACCGTGGTTTTTATTTTTAATTCATAGACAAACTAGAATCGGCCCCAACTATCATATCGGTCGATATCAAGAAACGTGTGAAATTGTCAAAATTGTTTGCTATTGACATTTTATTTCGAACTTCATCTCGACTGATATTGGAATTGAGGTCAAATCAATTTTTTTGTTTTTCTGAGATGTTCGAAATTTGAATATAATAATAACATCGAATTCGATGTTATGAATCAATATAACATTTTCACAGATAAGAATTTGCTCTAACAAAACAGTTTACCTTTATCCTGGTCGTAATTTGCGGTTTTTGAACACATTATAGAGAGTTTATGATATGTGTGTAGATAAAAGAATTAATAAGGCAATTAGTACAACGGAGCGTAGGGTTGTCACATTATTATTTTATTATATACATCCATGAAAAGTACACACATTGTACAATGAACACAAACACAAGTAGTAATTTATTATATTATATGCCTGAAACCATCGAAACAGAGGATTATTTTTCAGTTTGACAAAAAATATTTTTTTGAAGAAATTGAGACGTCACTGATCAAGGTATATAAAATTAAAAGGAGATTACGTAGAAAAATTAATCATAATTTAAAATAAAAAATAATCTCAAAACCGCGATAAATATATACGAGTACTCAGATTTGTACTATCATTTTTGTAAACTAAATATTTTTGTAAAGTTTGTTTGGCGAGATCGTTCTTGCAAAACGACGGAGGCATACATTTAAAAAATTTGTGAAGTTTTTGATATACACTCCCGGACACATAAATTGAACCACCTCGCATTTTCAGTACTAAATGCCCTAGGCTTAAACAATGTTTGATTGACCAAAAACTATTAAGCAACGTTGAAAGTAGTATAGGTACTAAACGTCTTTTCCATAAATCCTTGTTGGAAATTTAGACTTGCAAAGCCGGGGAAAACTTTTTCTTCGACTATAACACTACTTTTGTATTCTAACCCTTTAAGACAAAAATGCGAGGTGGCTCGAATTATATGTCCGAGAGTATACATGTACTATATATGTATATACTAAATACGTTTTGTAACGGTTTTAGATGAAATAAATAAATAATTACCAAGATTATTCTAGTAAATTAAACAGAGATCTTGAAGTTTGATTTTAAAATAAGTGTGCGCATTTACTGTATTTTATTTACAAGCATACATAATTTTAAAATTTCTATTTTACATGGTCTCAGAGCAACATTTTCTTAATTAAATAAAAACGTATAGATTTTTACGTCTTTTGTAGATTATTTATATAGTGTCCAGTGATTATTTTTATCCACATTAAGTTGGTGAAACCGCCGCTCATATGAGGTATTTTTCGTGTCTGGGACATTTTTATAATTATAGTATAATTAGGTACAATATATTTAAAGTTTTCTGAAACGATTCCACATTGTCATCTAAATTCATAAAACTCGTACCTCCCATTAAGGTGCACTTTTCAATTATATAACAATATATATAATTGATTATACCTCCATTTTGTAACTAATAAAGCTATATAAGTAGCACCTACTGCCACCTTAACTATTTCTGCCGCCAAGCAGTAATGTTAGCATTACTGCGTTCCGATTTAGAAGGGTAAGGGTGCTGGTGACATTACAGGCACGTGGGACTTGTCAACTTATGTCTCAGGTGACGGGCGCATTGGCAGTGTCCCTCAGATCTTTGCGATTTAAATCTCTGAGTGGCACTGCAACTGTTGTGGACAGGCGTGTCGCTTACCATCAGGCGCACGACTTGTTCATCCCGTCACTTAGTATTACTAAAAATATAAATTTTTTAAGCTTTAATAGCCCGATATTGCGCTTGAAGAGTAAAATAGGGATTTCGTTCAAATATGGAGTAACGAGGTTTTCAAATTTAGTCGACGACATGTATCTTTTCGTAGCTTTTACTAAAAAAATCTGATAATATCATCTTCACTTAGTTTATACTTATCTTTTAAGATTTAAGCACTTCGGTTTCTTTTAATATTATTGGTTTGCCTCTAAACTCCTCTTCTATTTGCTGTAAGGTTCTACCCTTCGTCTCTGGTAACAAAACCCACATAACTGATAACAAATACGCAACTATCACAGCATATAACAAATATACACCATCTAACCCTATGGTTCCTTGAAGAAATGAAAACGTCTTCAAAACTAAGAAAATAGTCGCACAATCGAATATGACACTAATTCCTGCTGCAGGAGCTCTATGAGCTATTGGAAATACTTCACCAGCAATGATGTTTGGCAATGGAGCCACTCCAATAGCAATTGTAAATGAGAAGAAACTGATCAGAACTATAGTGATCCACGTTGCATCATATGATAGCATTCCTCTTGTCTTGATATAGATATAAAGGGATATGCAAAGAAGACTGATAACGCAAAGACTACCCACACAAAGCAGTAATGGTCTTCTCCTATATCGTTTTACAACGTAAATGCCTGCAACACTGAAGAGAAATCTAAGTCCATCTGTAAACACCATCCAAAAGTTGACATCAGTGGTCTTTCCCATCATGACAGTAAGAATTTCATGAGCATATGCTCCAAGTAACGGTCCACCGCAAGCTTTTAGTAGAACATAAGAGTGTACTACTAAAATAACTGGTTTATAAAACTCTCTTTTCTTTAAAATTCTCACGAACTCTTTGATATTCATTTTTGTTGTTCCAGTCTCTTCCAGAATTAGTCTAGCTTTTATCATTTGCTCCAATTCATCTTCTTCTTTGTCACCTCTTAAGTAACGAAATGCCTTTTTACATTCATGATACTTTCTCTTCATGACCAAATAACTCGGAGATTCAGGACAATAGAGTGTCATAAGAAGACTAAGGTAGGAAAAGAAACTGCAAATTAAAGCAGTCCATTGCCAGCTAAAAAAAGACCCTATTAGGTGCACGAAGAAAATTCCAAATGTTAGAGAAAGGGATATTGTAGCTAAAAACGCGCCTCGATTTACTGGACTTGTATATTCCCCAATTACAACAGATCTTACCGGCATGAGCATACCATAAGATAGGCCTTGTAGTACTCTACCTATCATCAGCATCTGTAAAAAACAAACACGTGTTTTTTAAATTGTTCAGAAATCCTTAAATTCTCTAGGTTTTTTTATATTTCCTAGGTTTTGTTTTAACATTTTATATCCCATATCTGAGATAGATATTTTCTATTGCAAGTAAGAGCGATGCCACATGGACGTCGCCGGTGTGTTGAGCTATCGCAACGCTATGATTTCAACGCATCGAGTGTTACACGAAAAACGTAACTTACTTACACCATTACGCACGCAGCATCCCTTCCCCCTTCGTCTCCTGGCCTCTTGCACGCACCGTTTAAGCGCATGGTGACATGTAGTTCTAATTATTTATATGTGGTACAACGCAGCGTCCCCGTCAGACGTAGCAACACCGACGCAACGCGTCTTGTGGCATCGCTCTTACACAATATCACATTTATTTTATTTTTAGTTACTTTAAGGTACTTAGACGTTAAATTTAAAATAAAAACATTAAGGAGATTAATGTTTGTTTAAGTAAAAATACAAACTAAACTGGAAGATTGCAAGGCAACAATAATAATGAAACTACCCATTGACTTACATATAATTGTAAGTCAATGAAGCTACCTAATAAATTTTTTTAAAACATTTCGGTAATTATTTTCAGGTTAGTTTTCTCTATCTAATTTCGGTTGAAATTTTTATTATTTGAATATTCATGATTATTATCATGAAGTATTATTTTATATACGAGTATCGATTTAATATCGATGATAAATATATTAATGATAATATTGCCACTGAAATTAGGTAGAGAAAACTAACTTGAAAAATCACACATTTACGTGACTTCAAATACCTGAAAATTGGTGGCAATAACGATGAACAACCAACCAACAATGATAGGTAACGTCAGAGCGTAGAGCGCTGTTTTTCTTCCCATTCGATCCATTATACAGGGTGTTACAAAGTTACCGATCAATGTAGGCAACGCCATTACGGATGCTGTAAAGTTAACATTAGTTTTAGTGTTCTTAACCGTTAAACTAATCCTCAACCCATTATTATGTTCTACTAGTAGACACGGGTCTCTTCTAAGGAGAGGGTTTAAACCACAGTATGCCACGCTGGCTTAATGCGAGTTAATGACTTTTTTTTATAGATTATAAGTACGCATTTCACCTCCATCTCACCTAATGGAAAGTGACAATGAGGTCGACGATGGAGCATACACACCTAAATAATGCCTATTCACTCTCACCTTGAAAAGGCCCAAGTTAATCATCACGACGTTTTCCGTCATAGTTTACAAGATGTATTTGCCACTAAATTTAGTAGCAGTAGATCTCCTTGTTGAAGAGGCTATCCAGGGAAGTATTGCACTTAAGTCTCAGGATGACAAGCGCAGTGGCAGTGCCCCTCAGATCGTTGCGATTTAAAGCTCTGCGTGGCACTGGTATTGCCATGGACAGGGGTGTCGTTTGTTCGTGTTCCGTCACTTGGTGTCAGTAAAAACAAAGATAAAAGCATTTTTGACGTATGAATACATATGGCTTTACTATACCAAGGGTACGACTTTACCTCTGCAAAGGATTATGAAACTTGGGCCTCTAAAGATAAATGTGGGTAGTTATGATTATGGCTTTCATTGGTAGCACTTAACAGTCTTCAAGCTTGTACGTTAGGAAATGCTGTCATTTCATTAATGATGGTATTTACCTATCCACGATTCCTCTTCCATTGTGAGAGTGATCAAAGCATTTTCCTGACGCAACTGTGGGAACAAGACGGCAGGGTACGACAGGGCGGCCACTTGACTGATTATGTTGCCACTTATAGTACCAGTTACGAAACACTGTTAAACAAAAAAGTAAAAACATATATAATAAAAAAGTGTGATAACTCCATAGAAACGTAACAGCACATCTAATATTTGCGCACGCGCTCGCCGCGCGCCCTGTATGAACACACACTTTTGCATATTAATGAAAGGCGCGTGTGACGACCAGCGCTATGAAGCGGGTGCGTGCTAGATTTTGCCAATGGGTGTGTTATAATGTAGTTTTAAATATTTGTATTGTGGTAACACTGTTAGAAAAAAAGAATGGTGGAACGAGTTTTGGGTAAAAACTCAGAGTCGTAAACATACAGTTAATTTTGGATCTAAGTGTTTTTTTTCTAATCCCAATCCCATCGTTGTGGCCAAATTGTTGTAATTAATAAAAAAACACAGTTCAAATTATACTAAACAAATGTTTTTTTTGTAATGGGACAGAAATCCGAAACCATAGAAGATACAAGGAAACTGTCTTAGGAACCATTAATCCTTGTGAAAACAAGTTTGACATAGTAAATATTTTGATCAAGTGTGAGTTATCCATAAAAATGAATAAAACAGATTAAAAATTTTTTAGTGCTTACAGACTCAGTTTCATTAAGGGATTATTTCATTGCATGGGAGGAAAAAAATCGGGGCAGAAGAAGTAGCTCAAATGTCATATTAATGCGAATTGAATAAAATTGCCTAATTTTTTTTTAAGACTGATAGACTCAGCTTCTTGTAAGGATGTTTTCATTGTATAGGATGAAAACTTGGGACAGCAGAAGTTGGTCAAATTTAAGAAAATGATTTTTCATACAAATGGTTTCTTTTTTAAGATACATTTTATAAATTGAACAGTGTTCCTTTTAATAAGGTTTGTAAGTACGATACTATGTTACTTAAAATCAGAGCGACATTTAATACTAAATCTATGGGAAACTGTCCATGGCACTGGGACACAAGGTTTCCAGACACAGACAACCAGAAGTTACACCCAAATTTATAATTTGTATTCATAGATTTTTTTATAAAACAACAAGTACAGATTTGACCTGTAGTTGATCTGATGGAAAATGACGATAGAGCTTGCAATAAAATTTTGTTTTATAAAGGTATTGTTATTCTCTTGGCTACCACACTATTATCGCTACGATTTGGTAGCACGGTAGGGACTTAAAAATACCCACCACACTACCAGTGGTTTGTTTAGTGGTACGATGAGTCCCCCAGGATATACACCTATAAATATAACACTCATTCTTGATTACACCAACTTGTGACGGTGTGACCTCTTTGAATCGTTATCCCACCTTTTTATTTAAATTTCTTATTTTATTCTCACACTAGTATTTATATTCAAATTTTGAATTGTTCCATTTTGCCTCGCACTCTGATTTTGTTTCGTTCCATCGTGACTCCCTGCCCGATCGCGGTAGCGACAACATCTCTTCTTATCTTTTTGAACCTTTTACTCATTGACTTACAAATAAATGGACGACGGATCTAATACAAAAACTAAAAAATGTCCCAAGTCAACCTATTCGAAATTTAAATTGTAATGTCATCGCAGTATCGCGCTGTCAGTAGAACAAATGAAGACTAAAGCGGAGTGTCGCGCTCTGTATACGATTTTAGCGCCTTACAAGTGCGGACACTTTTTAGCGCGGACCCGACGTCCATATAATTGTAAGTCAATGCTTTTACTAGTTATATTTACACCGTTTGCATTTTAAAGATCATAATATTATTGTTAAACCTGAATAAATACCTATAAAACTGGACTTTCAACTTTTGAACTACTAAACTTACTAAGTAAGATATATGGAGGCTGCGGAGGTTACCCAGGCTACTACTACATTCCATCCAATAGGACTTACCGCCGCCAACGCCAGCAGCACTTCCACAAACTTACCTGTACTGAAAACGGAGAAAAGCGTCGTTTAGGTTCAAAGTCCATTATTCCTTTATTAAAAGCAAAGTATGAGAAGTAATTCTACATTAATTATCACACCACACTTCATTTCAATATGAGTTTGAAGTATTTTTTGCAGTATAAGCATTAAAGCATTTCACGACTGTTAGACGGAAACTAAAATAAATTGCTATAGAGTATAATGATTATAAAGATAAAGTGAACAGTAATCAATGTTATTTGTCAACTGTCTGGTTTTATTTACCGGTAATTATGTATTTTAATAGATAAGAATACATTGTATGCTCGAACATGTGATTAATTGCACTATTTGTATATATTACGTATAAGACTCTGAGTTCTACTGTACTGAGAACCCTCAGTACATATTTATATATCTGGCATTGAGCGCATTCAGAATAAATTTATAAAGTTATTAAGTATAAGTAAAGGCATCTTCGAAAAACCAGAAACAAAACAAAGAAAAACGGCGCGCTGCAATGAACCAAATCCTTCTGTATAATATTTTGAGAAATAAGATGAATTCCAGGTTTTTGTTACATAATATTAATTTCAGATGTCCTAGACCTAATTCTCGTTTGAAAACTGTCTATTGTGTGCCTGCTAGTAAAACAAAATATTTAAGTTACGCTTTCTTGTTTAGAACTTGTAATGCGTTAGAATAAGAATCATTTAGATGTAGATGTATTTTATTTGTCTTTTCCAAAATTTGTAAAAGTCCATTTATGATCAATAATTTGTTATTTGATTTCAGTTTATTTATGTTTCTAACAAACCTACTTTATGTAATAGACGGCCTTAAGGCCTCTATCTAATTCCTGATTATTCTAATTTCTGATTTGTAGGCCTGGATAACACAATTTATAAAAACCACCATCTGATTTTTAATTGTTCCTTTATTTTAACACACTGCGAGCATTGACACTTTTAGAAGATAATATTTTCTCAAAAATCTCACAACGACTGACTGTCTAGTCTTTTTCTTGACCTTATATGCATGTTTTATTAGAGTAAAACAGAGGGCGCATAGATGCTTGTTTTTAAACTAATACAGAGGGCGCCGCGTATTTAGCTTAAGCCAGATTGTTCACTTTTAGTTTTCTAAGAATCCGCTAGATGGCATTGACCCATTTGGCGTTATTTCTGAATCGCGGTGTTAAGATTTTCCCTCGAATGGTGACTACTCGAACACAATTTTTTTAATGCGAAGAGAAATCTGAGAATTCAGAGAGCTCAGTAAGGCAACCAGGAGTTGAATTGGGAACGTGGGAACTGCTACCTGGATCTTCTGATATTTCATACGCTCATATACAGTGAGAAACCTCATCTCGCGGAACGGCTTCCAGGAGTCGAGTCCCTTCTGGGAACAACTGCCCGGTAGACATGGGGAATAGCATTACATTTCTATCGCCGTGACTGTCGTTCCGGTTCAAAAAAAAAGTTAAAAATAGCAATAAGGTGTAATGTAATTAATTATATTTCTGGTAGAATGCACAAAGTAGATTATACATAAATATAAAATGTCAACTCTTCCCATAATAAAACAAATATACAAAAATATTTTACTTTGTTAATAAATAGGTTTATAGTAACTGCTGCAGATTTTTTTCATCTGCCCTTTCTAGTAGTAATAAGCAGCTACGATTTATGTGCACGCCTACCCATAATAATAATACACTCATAGACATATTTGCTAAAAAAAGGTTAAACTGGTAGAACCACGAACAAAAAAGATTGCCCTTGGCTACTACCAGTAAGTAAAACTACACAGTTGGTCCACGAGAAAACAGAATTAACAGTGTTCAAATGGACCACTGGCCATATAATAGAATGTTTAATCGAAATCAAAAGACGAAAGTTTTCAAATGAAACGATTGTGTATAGATATATTGATATTGTTTTTTCATGTCATTTGCCTGTAAATTCACCAGCACACACTTCAAATCCGGAATGCAGCAATTAGGGAATACAAATCCGTGCCATATTTGAAATGCGGATTTCGAAAACGGATTTCGTAGCGAATCCGCATAATTCGCGATTTTCGCGAAAATAAACGTATGTTTTCGTACAATATTAATCAAATTTTAATCTAATCTTCGGCAGGTATTTGAAATAAGTCTTCTTCGATTTTTTTAAAACCCTTTCTATCCCACTGCTGGGCAAAGACCTTCCTCTCTTTTCCCATTGTTTTCGATCTTGGGCAGTATCTGTTTTCAAAATTCTTTAATATAGAAAAAATATAAGATCAAAAAAGTTTTAAAAAGGTACCACTTCGGAACTGTCAACAAATTGTAAAAAATTCAAACGTAAGTGTTTAGAAATAATAATAATAATAATAAATTCTTTATTTAAGACAACTGTGATCCATAAAGTGTTAGTACAGACTTAAAACTATGTTAGTACTTATACTCTACTATTGACCTAGTACTATTTATTAAGTGCCGCATAATTGGGCACTCACATCTCTCCGCAACAGTCTTCAGGAGGCTGTTGGGGCTGTCACGTATTCTGTTCAGTAGCGACGCCGACTTTTTACGTAGTACAGCCATGAAACCGTCTACTCGCGCCTCCACGAACATGGCTGACGCACTGCAGAAACGTGGCAAGCCCAACAGCGCCCTAAAAGCGTTGTTATACTGCACGCGTAGAGCATTCAGGGAGCGCTGGGTGTAGTTTGTCCATAGAGCGCCAGTGTACAGTGATGTGCAGTAAGCTCTAAAGAGTGAATAACCTAATATTTTTTTCTAAAATAAAAAAGTTGTTTTATTTCTTTTATCATTGATTGTTTGTTTTATTTGTTTTATCATTTACATTCATGTTATCGGTCCGTTATTGTCTATGGGATCCGAAGCCGAAAACGAAAGCGTTGTGGCTAACGAACTTTGGACGGCTCACGGATCGTTTTGATTTCGTACGCAGCTGCGGTTGTATATTTTGAGAGTAGACCTTCTGCTGAGGAGTCCGTTGCACGAAATTCCAAAATTCTGTTCTCGAAGCGTGAATAAATTAAATTGTGAAAAAAGTAAAAGTGAAAAATAAAATTCGGATTCAA